TTTAGGATTCATGGATTGATAGAAAAGTAAAGTACCAGATATTAATTGACCGGTCATAGAGAAGTATGAGCATTGATTCCGTGTGCTCCAACCCGGAATAATTAAGGTGCTGCTATAATTGCATCGTGTTGTTCTCAATGGATATTTACTAGAATCTCTAAATGTCGAGAATAATATTTATTAAATAAATCTTAACGTTAAGTAATTCTTATAATGTTGAGAAACAAATGTATTTTTAGAAGTTTTTTCATACTTGAACTGAATTTTTGGCTTATTATAAACAATAATCACGAATCTAATATATATATATATATATTATTTTTCCCATTTTTAAACCATGTAAGCAGGCTGAGATTATAATAAAATATACGCTATGTATATTATTCTCTAGGCTTAGGAGAGTATATGCAAAAAAACACTGCTTTATTTTTTCTCCCAGGACACCTTCAAAGTATAAAGATTTTAATATTTATTTCGAAACTAGAGATAACACGCGCGCTCGACCTCATTCGTTTCATTTAATGTTCATTAATATTTATATATAAGTACATTTTCGACAAATTATTAATTTATGTATAATTGAATACAACAAAATTACTTTACAATGATTTATTAAAATAATTTTTCGTTTAATATTTTTATTGTCTTGTCTCTTTTACTTTATTTATTCAAAGCTAAACTTTCGTATCGAGCAGGAAAAGATTCTATAATAATTTTTATCTAAATATCGCTCGCTTTTCTTCTTGAAATTTAGCACAAAACTTACTGAAATTCCAGTTTTTTTATTATTAATTATCGATTAAATAATTCGCAATGATTTGTTTTTAAATAAGAAATTGAGAGAAACTGAAATTAATTCATCAGTAATACATATCAAATTAAATGAATGTTTGATTCTTGAAACAAATTCAATTTTGACAAAATGCACATGATTGAATTTGTAAAAAAAATATGTAAAAACGTAATATGATTTACTTTTGCTTTCTGCTATTCGAAGATCCCATCTCTTTCGAGTTTTACGGCAGACACCACTTTGTTTAAGACCCATTTGCATAGGCAAATTGTACCTCTTTGGTTGTACTTGCTCTTCATCACTACTATTACTGTTTGAACTCTCCATCGTATTTTTGATGTACCTCAATATATGAACTAGGAGAAAAGTGGCCGTTGGCTAGCGCAGAGGTCGTGGAAGCCGGTCGAGCGTAAATGTGCAAAGTTTTCTCTTGATATATTGACTTGGTGAAAATAAATTGCACTTTATATTTAACTAACTGTGAATTTATTAGTACTACTATATATAAGGCTGTCTTATTAACTAGAAAATTTATTTAAGACTAGTTGTGAAAAGAAAAAAGATATTTGTTGTGAAAAGAAAGCATATATATATAAATTGGCATTTTCTAAAAATTGAATATATTATTTTTAAGCTAAAACATTATTAACAAAATGCAGTATATATATAACCTCTAAAATCTTTTTTCTCTTATTATATAATTCGTTTATAATATAAGTATACCTTCAATAAAAATCTGAAATTTTATTTGCTAATTTTTTCCATAATTGCAACTATAATACTAGGGTAGGAAGCGCGAGTAGCCAATCACGTGAGAGTGTGAGAGAGATAGCATCTATAGCCTTGTTCGTGCTATCTCTCTCTAATTTGGCCGATGATGCGTGCTGATCGAGCCCGTGAAGCAGCTTAGTCCAGTAAATAGAGGCCTGAAATGTTTTTGTCACATAAGTGGATGCATTTTTGATATATGGTAAATTGAGGTCGAAAAAGACGATTCTGAAATTTGCAGAGTTCTAGGTCCAGGGGTTCTAAGAGAAAATCACGTTTGAAATTTTTTTTCGCCTGTATCTCGCGAACGGCTGAACGTACGACAAAATAACATGCACCAATCGAAAGAGCGTGAAATTTTACATCAGAAACAATGTTTAATCCGACATCGATGAGTGTAAAATGTTGAGATAAAAAATAAATAAGAAACTTTACGTGAATAAGGAGAAGGGGAAGGCTGGGGAAGGCGCGGTATAGTTTCGCTCTCCTCCGCCGCCCCTCCAAACGTGCGCAGACAGTCGACGACACTCGGCAATCTTCGGCCTATAGCAGCCGTAGAGGGGAAACGTGCATGTACGCGCGCTTGAATTCATTTTCGATATTTGGTGGCCGGCGATGGAGCGGTGGTCGGAAACAAGTTTTATTATGATCTTTTAGGATTCTCTCTTTGCAACTAATCTAAAAAATACTCTCATCACTAGTACTTAAACGAATTAATTTAACGTAAGCCCCACCTCTTCTTAATAAACATATGTAACATCCATAACACTTAAATAACATGTGACGATAGCCGAGGTAGCTAAAGCACACCATCACTTTTTATTTTCGTGGTAGCGGGTTCGAATCCCATTGAACATACTTTTTTTAAGCATTTTTTTCTGTACATCTCTTTGATGGTATACTTATATTTTATATGTTTTAATTTTTGAAAAAAAATTACTTAAAAAGTTGTATTTCTATATTTAGCTGACTTGTACCTGAAAATTACTACAAAATTACATTTGCAATGTTTACACTTAATTATCGTATATAAAATTTTCAGTCCTTGCAATGAGATAAGCATTGTTATTTGAACATGGATAAATATTTAACATATAAATATGTATTTGAAGCTTTTTTTATCAGTTTGATCAACTTATAAAGAACAAAATGTGCATCGATATTAATCCTTTTTAATTTGAGAATAATTCATAAATAAATAATTTTGTACAAGGCTTTACATATTTTGGCTTTTTAACAATTAAAATGACGTTTCATTTCCAGCACGAGAAAAGCCAAAGGCCGGAGGCGGTGGTGGGGGGCCTCCCTCGCGCGCTTGGAAATACTGAAAGTCCGCGTTCAAATCGACGCGCTTCGCAAAAATCAGGCTTATCTCGCGAACTATTGCATCAAATTTGATCATTTTTTTTAAATTTGGGGTAGCTTCAAAATTTATTGAGATTGGTTTAGTTGTAATTACTATATTTAGTGCCAATCGTTTATTATTAACTTAATTGAATTCATACATATGAGTGTATGTATAAATTCCAATTAATTATTACTTGCTATCCGTAAATATGGATAAGGATAAATAATAATCAATATATTTTCAATTATTAATAACAATATTTTAATTTATATGCATACGTAGGCTATAGTTTACATGATTTCTTATTTTCTAATCGTGCCTAGTTCTTTTCGGCGCAGACTCATTTATTTCGTTTTCATTGCATTCTTCATTCAACATTACTTCTACAAGACTACTTAAATTATACTCTTCGTTGTCAATATCTTTTACGATCGTACAGCAAAATACACACAAGCGAGAACATTTGAGGCCATGTTTGCTGCACAAAGCTTTACAGCCTTTTTGGAATATATATATATATATATATATGTGTGTGTGTGTGTGTGTGTGTGTGTGTGTGTGTGTGTGTAATCTTTATTTTCCGTATTTTCTATGTTTGTACTTAACTGAAATCGCAAGGCGTGCAGCTGCCGCAAACATGGCCTCAAATGATCTCGCTTGTATGGATTTTGCTACGAGGATAATTGTACAAACGTAGAATACATGAATATGATCATATTGATAACGAAGAGTATAATTTAAGTAGTCTTGTAGAAGTAATGTTGAATGAAGAATGCAATGAAAACGAAATAAATGAGTCTGCGCCGAAAAGAACTAGGCACGATTAGAAAATAAGAAATCATGTAAACTATAGCCTACGTATGCATATAAATTAAAATATTGTTATTAATAATTGAAAATATATTGATTATTATTTATCCTTATCCATATTTACGGATAGCAAGTAATAATTAATTGGAATTTATACATACACTCATATGTATGAATTCAATTAAGTTAATAATAAACGATTGGCACTAAATATAGTAATTACAACTAAACCAATCTCAATAAATTTTGAAGCTACCCCAAATTTAAAAAAAATGATCAAATTTGATGCAATAGTTCGCGAGATAAGCCTGATTTTTGCGAAGCGCGTCGATTTGAACGCGGACTTTCAGTATTTCCAAGCGCGCGAGGGAGGCCCCCCACCACCGCCTCCGGCCTTTGGCTTTTCTCGTGCTGGAAATGAAACGTCATTTTAATTGTTAAAAAGCCAAAATATGTAAAGCCTTGTACAAAATTATTTATTTATGAATTATTCTCAAATTAAAAAGGATTAATATCGATGCACATTTTGTTCTTTATAAGTTGATCAAACTGATAAAAAAAGCTTCAAATACATATTTATATGTTAAATATTTATCCATGTTCAAATAACAATGCTTATCTCATTGCAAGGACTGAAAATTTTATATACGATAATTAAGTGTAAACATTGCAAATGTAATTTTGTAGTAATTTTCAGGTACAAGTCAGCTAAATATAGAAATACAACTTTTTAAGTAATTTTTTTTTTAAAATTAAAACATATAAAATATAAGTATACCATCAAAGAGATGTACAGAAAAAAATGCTTAAAAAAAGTATGTTCAATGGGATTCGAACCCGCTACCACGAAAATAAAAAGTGATGGTGTGCTTTAGCTACCTCGGCTATCGTCACATGTTATTTAAGTGTTATGGATGTTACATATGTTTATTAAGAAGAGGTGGGGCTTACGTTAAATTAATTCGTTTAAGTACTAGTGATGAGAGTATTTTTTAGATTAGTTGCAAAGAGAGAATCCTAAAAGATCATAATAAAACTTGTTTCCGACCACCGCTCCATCGCCGGCCACCAAATATCGAAAATGAATTCAAGCGCGCGTACATGCACGTTTCCCCTCTACGGCTGCTATAGGCCGAAGATTGCCGAGTGTCGTCGACTGTCTGCGCACGCTTGGAGGGGCGGCGGAGGAGAGCGAAACTATACCGCGCCTTCCCCAGCCTTCCCCTTCTCCTTATTCACGTAAAGTTTCTTATTTATTTTTTATCTCAACATTTTACACTCATCGATGTCGGATTAAACATTGTTTCTGATGTAAAATTTCACGCTCTTTCGATTGGTGCATGTTATTTTGTCGTACGTTCAGCCTCAAAGTTCTACCAGTTCTCAAAAGTCGAGTACTAATATGTTTAAGGTATTTAAATCAAAACTATGTACAATAAGTAGTTTTTATTTAAGTGAGTGTGCAGGCACATACGACAAAAACCTATTGTGAATTATAATTTGATAATACATTTTGAATATGATTAGACCAGTATACTCTGCTATAAAAATAATATAAGAATACTATAAAAAAAATATTTCTACTCGTTAAAAAATTTTTCAAAACTTAATCCCATTTCTACTGAAATGTTGTTTTGGTAATTTTGCATGTAATTTTTGTTGTTTAACTCTACCATCTCTACATTCTACTTCTATATTTTTCAGTCATTTTCATTCTTTTACATGTATTCTAATTTTTATACGTACTTTCATGAAATAGCTGAAACAATCATCAGAATATTCAAAAATCTTAAAAGCCAGGCAAGAAGAGAAGGAATTACAAAAGAGAAAATTACAGGTATACACACACACATATATATGTCTTACATCAGCTCTATTAAATTTGTTATATTTGTCAATATTAATATAACTAACCTCTTTAATAATCATTTATTATTTATAAAAATTGCAGGGTCAAAGTGATAAACGAAAAACCAAATCAGTGAAACTGAGTGATCACCAGACTGCGTCTTCTCAATTTTAAGGTAACTTGAATGATTCTTTTCCAGCAGAAGACCATCAAGGAAAAGAAACTCATGATGTCACTGATGAACCAATTTTGGAACAGAAGGTAAATATTATAATATTTTTAATATAGAAGTATTAATAATCATAAGAGTTTATTAAATGATTCATGCGTATAATGTTAGATAATGAATTATTTATCTTTAATAATTACCTGCCTATTCCAAGTTTTTGCTACACACACACACAAGTATAAGCTAACATACGTATATCCTATATATTTATAAAAAATTGTAGGATTTGAATCAAGAAAAAAACGAAACGGCCATGATATTGAGTCGCCAGCCTTCTTCTTTTGCTCAAGTTGAAAACGAAACTAATTCCTTCTCAGGAGGAGAGCATGAAAAAGATAAAATACGTTTTGAAGATATAAATACCCTATTAGGAAGCGTTGAAAAGAAGGTAAACTTTATAATATTTCTAATTCCATTGAAATAGAGTTATTAAATATGAATTAAATATACCTAGTATGTATTAAAATGTATATTTATTAATGTACTTTTATCATTTTTTAAAATTGTTTGTATTTTTAAAATGTTCTGTAAACACGTTATGTACGCGTAAGCAAATTCATTTATATGTATATTAAATTAAAACAACATTTATAAAAACAGGTTGAGCCCCATGAACCTTTTTTAGATGAAAAAGAAAGTCATGAAAATGTAGGTACTAACGAGGATGATGAAAAGCATGAATTGACTGGTGAATCAAGCACTTTAGTAAAGAAGGCATGTATCAGCGCAAGAATATTTTTAATTGAATTTAAAATACATAAATATAGACAGTATATATTGAAATCTAAATATTGATTTAGGATAATCATCCAGAAAGTGGTGGACGCAAACCGAGAATTATCGACGTAAGTTCCAATGAATATAGATATATTCCTATAATTTCTAATAGCTTTTAATACTTTTTAAGTACTTTTGATAGATCTTAATCATATTTTATATGCAATGACTTCAGATTCTATATGAAACAATAACAATATTTTTTAATCCATAGAATCGTTGCCTTGACTCACTCAAACAAAATAACTTATTGAAAAAAAAAGAAAAACAGATTTCTGAATTAAAACAGGAACTTGGAAATGTAAATCGTAAGTATCGGAATTTAAAAAATGACTACAAAGAAGTTAAACAGGAAAACAAAGAGTTGAGAGATAGAAACCTTAAACTACAAGATAACATTAGTCATGATATTATGAAGCTTGGAGGTAATGTATAAAATACGAATAACAATTTAAAATGCTTGCTTGCTTCTTGTGTCCCGTTATATTACATTAAAATTAGTCGTCATATAATACTAGGATAAGTATTAAAAACTAATGATGCCAAAATTTCAGTTGAAGGCCTTTTGCAAATACTGGAATTTCCAGTCTGTTCGCTTGATACAGCAATTTTGTAAGACTTATACCATTTTATATTGAGTGATAGCTGATGATTTATGTTTTCTGATTAGTAGTAGTTGCAAGTGTTTGTGTCCTTTTAGTTAAATTAAATGTGATTAATTTAGATATGTGTATTTGTGTGTGCTACATACTCGTTTTTCTAGTAACATGAACAGTTATTAATTATCTTAATAATTTTCTAGTATTGGTGGACCAACAGAATAAAATTTGTGCTTCCAGCAGTAATATTGTTGACCCAAAACTTAAAAGTGTACCCATTGGATTTATTGAACAGGATGGTAGTGTGAGTATAATTATTCCACCAAATTTTCCTCGTATACACTGTTGCTCCATTATTTTTAATTAATATCATAAATTTGTACAGGTTCATATGGGTCAAAATAAATATTTGCCCGCCAGTATTAATGATACTGTCGTATCATCATTGAGTCCTGCAACTTTCGTAGGAAACCTCCTAGTTGCAGTATTTGGGCCCACTACTTTAATGAAAAGTAGTCTCACAGGTAGAGTCAGCAACAGAAGAATTGGCAAAATAAAGAAAAATAAAGAACAAGATAAAGAAAATAAAAATGAGCACGGCGAAAATGACTTGCCCCAAGCTGAAAAATTAGAAAAGTTGGATCCTAAACAACTGCTGGCTTGTCAAGGTAGATTTGAATCAATGATATTTGCAAAATACATGTTACAATTACTTAACAATATCAATTAAAATAATACAATTGTGATTTATTTCTTGTTTCAGATTATTTTGGCTATTGGTTAGAAATATATTATGAACCAAAATTGACCAAAGCCCAAATGAAGAAATATGATAGAACCATAGAAATAGCCTGTTTTCGCGAATATGCAACAAAGAAAATAGCATACATGAAAAAGCCAAAAAGGGCAAAGATAAATAAGAAAAACTTAAGGAAGTCTGAAGATTTTGAAGAACAGGAACCAACGAATAACGAAACCGGCGGAACCGCGACCCATTACAACTGAATTCTGACATTGAAACAGAATTAAACTTAGAAAATATATTTGATGAGTCTTGGTTGGAATCTTCAAGTGATGATGAGGATTAGAATAATTAGTAACATCTGATTATTCTAATAATCTTTATTCTTTATTTATTAAGTCGTTTGAATTTAGAAATGTTAATAATTTATTCACTATAGTGTACATCATTATTTATATAATTTATATATGCTATTGAGTTACCCTTAACTTATTTATTGAAGTATTTATTGAAAAACATTACGTATAACAGATAATACTTACATTCTACTTGCATACTTACATTATAAGTATTTATTTTATAATTGTAATTGTTTCTACTTTGTTCAAATTAAAATAATTTGATAATAAAAAGGAATCCATTTATTTCCGAATTGAAATTTATTACAAATGATTAATTCCTATAAAAAAATATTTATGTAAAAACAGTATTGAAAGCGATTCAATATAATTATATTGAATTGCTTTGAATACTGCAATGAATGTGTTTTAATAAATAATTTTTAATTTGAATTTATTAAAAGAGATTCATTTCTTTTAAAAATATGCCTGCACATACATGTAGAATATTCAAAGTGATTCGATATCAACTACTCGAATTTTTTTTAAGGGATTGAATGTCATTAAAAGCAATTCCTGTACATATGAATATCCATATTAAAAGCAATTCAATAATTTATTTAAATATATTCAAAATTTTTTAAATTAATTAAAAATTATCAATATATTACTTATTTTCTATTAAAAAGAATTAAAATCCATTGCGTACATGCTAGTTTTAATATAAAAAATTATTCATTGTCCACCAAATACTAAAAAGCATCCAAGTTTATTTAAAAAAATTAATTTAATCATGATAAATTATATTGAATATTATTTAAATATCGTTCAGAAATTCAAATCATTTTTAATCGTGAATCTGTATTTCAAAATATGCGATTAAAATAAATTTAACGTAACGATAATTATTCATTGGATTTCATTGAATAAAATTCATTTTATGAAAAGATTTGAGATTGAAAGCTATTGAACATTATTGAATTTAATAATCTTTAATCTTAATTAATTCTATCGATTCGAATCATTTTGAATTATTTTGCTTCCGTGGCTTATTTTTTTCAATTGGCTTATGTGGGATACAAATTCACGATTAAAAGTAATTAGTTTTTTTTAATAACTTTTAATAGAACATTTTTAGCAGGGTTATTAAATGAAGAAGGTCGTACTTTAGCAGATTTTCCTACAATGAATCAATTTGTTGAAACAGAATTTCCATGTCCAAATCAATCGATATAACGATATTTTATTAAATACCGTACAATTGACAACAAATCCTACATGTTTGCAACAAATTGAAGACCAAGGTCAACAACATTATGTTAATTTAAATCCACAACAAAAACAAATAGTTAATACGGTTTTGGAAGCTGTTCATAATATCAATTATGTTGGTCTAAATGTATTTATATGGATGGACCAGGAGGATCAGGAAAAACATATGTTTATGAAACTATATATCATAAGCTAACTTTAAAAAATATCAAAATATGCGCAATGGCATATACGGGAATTGCAGCAACATTACTTCCACAGGGAAAAACTGTACACAAAACATTTGGGTTGCCAGTCCCTATGTTTCAAGATTCTTTTTTCAATATCAGAGCACAATCTAAAGAAGCTCAACAATTACGAGAAACTACAGTATTTATTTGGGACGAAATTTCGATGGCTCCACGGTATGCATTGGAAATTGTTAATAAAACTTTACAAAATTTCATGAACAATAATTTACCATTTGGAGGGAAAGTTATTATAGTAGGAGGAGATTTCAGACAATTATTGCCAATTAAAGTTCATGGAACTCGAAATGAAATATTAAGTCTTTGTGTTAAATATAGCACAGTGTGGAAAAATTTTACTAAATTTTCATTAAGTACAAACATGAGAGTTTTCCAAATTTTTATTAGATCTTGGTAATGGTACATTAAATGATGAAGATGACAAAGAAATAATTCTTCCTGAACAGTGTATATTACCTCCAAATGATGACCTAATAGACGTTATATTTGGAAAATTAATTAAAGAAAAGAAATTCTAAGAAATGAGTAAATGTGCTATATTATCAGCTAGAAATATTGACGTAGATGAGATTAATAAACAAATTACTAATTTATTGAATAATGACTGTGAACGTATATATACTGTTGTTGATTCCGTTGTTCATAACAATGGTGGAATAGATGATGTTATATTACCAGAACATTTAAATCATTTAAATCCACCAAGTTTACCTCCTCACGAATTACGCTTGAGAAAAAATTGTATTATAATGTTAATTAGAAATATAAGCATAAATGAAGGTTTATGCAATGGAACAAGATTACAAATAATAGATTTATCAAACCATTTAATAAAATGTATCATTTTGACAGGCGACAGAGCAAACCAAATTGTCTTTTTAAAGCGTATAACTTTATATTCTGAAAACGATTATCCATTTACATTTAAAAGAAGACAATTTCCCGTAAAACTAGCTTTTGCAATGACCATTAACAAAGCTCAAGGTCAAACTTTTAAAAATACTGGTATTGATCTAAGAAGAGATGTATTTAATCATGGACAACTTTATGTTGTAATGTCCAGAGTTAGATCTTGGAATTCTGTCAAAGTATATCTAGGGAACCAAATACAAAGAAGAAAAGTTAAAAATTGGGTTTACAAAGAATTGTACACAGAATTATGAAAATGTTCTTCATTCTTTGAAATCTAAATAATACATACAAATGAGATTTGTAATCTAATTGAATAAAAAATTGTTATATAAGTTAAACTAATAGTATATAGAAATATATGCAATATGTATAATTTTAATAGCTGATTTACGATATACATAATTACACAAGTAATAATAATACTTAGTACAGTGTCATTATTATTTTTTAATCTTTTGGTATTGAATTTGAAAAGTAGATACATTATTAAATTTTATTTCATTTAAACAAATAATGAAAAGTATACGTTCCATAGAAAGCATAAAAAAAAGCGCGCGAAGCGCGCTTAATAATTCTAGTATATATAAAAGGTATATGTACAACTTGTCTACATAGAAAATAGTTATTACCTAAAATCAATGTATTGAAAAGAAGTAAGGTTACAAGTCAATTTATAGCGCACTGTACTGTACCTTAATTTACGTGTAAAATGTTTACACGACTAGAGGTTGGTTAAGTGTACCGCGCGCGTGGATCTCGTTCAGGTGGATATGTCAATATAAAATTGTCAATTTAAGATTTCTTAAGCAATTGAATAATAAATGCGAAAAATTTTATCTATTTAATATTGTACTTTAAAATAGAAAATTTGAAAAATATAATTCTTTATATATGTAATTTTTATTAATATTTTTATCAGGATAATTTGTACATATTTTCAATTAATCCCAGCAGCGAACTTGAGATAAAGCAACATATAATTTATCATAGTTAAAAATGTAATTTCTCAAATCTATTCCAATATTTTCAAAAGTTTGACCTCGTGCTTTGATAATTTTCATTGCAAAAGCAATTTTTATAGAAAATTGTCGACATTTAAAAATAAATAGGTATTTGTTTTCTCATGAATACAATGTTATGCGATTTATAAATACTATTTCACCTATTACATCTCCAATTCACACTTTAACCTATTAACGACCAAAGAGGTCAGTTTTTGGACATATTTTTGATCGCAAAATTCATTTGTAAAACGAAACTGTTAAAAATGACTGGGATAAGTTAAAACTATTGAGTTTGTTTTAAAATAAAATGTAATGTCATGCAATATGTACAAGGTTGGTCTCATAGTTAGAGACACGGTCTGCCTCAAGCAAACGCTCTCTTACGACTGTACTTATAGTTATGTACAGATACATCTCGCTGCGTACTTAAGCGCTTTTGCGCGTGCGCTACTACATACATCTTATACTCTTGAAATATTAATTCATATATTTTAACACACCTCCTTGAATTTATATTTCTTAACAGTAAACATTTTCAAAAAAAATATTCACAGGTTTCAAAAAAAATCTTACATTGTTTCTCTTACAATTCATTATACAATATTTAAATCTTTCCTGAACATTTCGAACTTATTTTTACCTAGTGCTTTTGTAAATATATCCGCAATATTCTTTTCGCTCTCAACTTTCACAATATCAATTTCATTCCTTACGTAGCTTTCGTTAATAAAATGAAAATGTGTTTCTATGTATTTAGATTTCTTTGTGAGATTTCCATATTTGGCAATAGCAATTGCACCAGAATTATCTTCATAGATTTTTATAGGCTTAATAATATTTACGTCTAAATCTTTTAATAAATTTTTAATTACTTTTATCTCACTAACAGCATCCGATAAAGCCACATATTCTGCTGCTGTAGAGGATTTAGCTACACTACTTTGTTTCTTTGCTTTCCAAAAAATCGTATTCCCATAATAACGTATAACAAAACCTGTCGTAGACTGTCTATTATTTTTGTCACCTGCCCAATCAGCATCAACGTAACAATCTATAATATTTTTATTATTTGATCTTCTTATAAAATTCAATTTTTTTTCTCTGGTTAAATACAAATATTTCAGTACTCTTAAAGCATATTTATAATGAGTTTTATCATAACAATTTTGAAACCTACTCAAATAATTTACACTATAGCTTATATCTGGTCGAGTACATGTACTGATATACAAAAGTGCTCCAATTAAATTTCTATATTTGATTTCATTACATGCTGATTGTGCTGGAGGTATATGTAACCTTTCCTCCATAGGTGTTAAGTACAGTTTAGTATTTTCTAAATTATAGACATTTCCTAATGAGTTTATATAATCAGTTTGATCAAGGCTCAATTTTCCTTTTTCAAGATCATATTCAACATTAATTCCTAAATACGTTTTTATTTTACCTAGATCTTTCATAGCAAATCTTTTCATTAATTTCTTTTTAATTTTATCAATGACAGTTTGATTTTTTGAACAAACTAGCAAATCATCAACAAATAATAATATATAAATTTTTTTTCCATTCTCAGTTTTATAATATAAACAATAGTCGCTTTCGCTTCTTTTGAAATTCATACTATTAATAAAATTATCAAAACATTCGTACCAAGCTCTAGGACTTTCTCTTAAGCCATACAAAGCTTTTTCTAACTTTAAAACTTTATCAGAATTCTCATTAACATTTTCATAACCTTGTGGTATTTTCACATAAATTTCAGATTTAACTTTTCCATTCAAAAACGCTGTTTCAACATCCATTTGTTCGATATAAAATTCATTTTGGTTACAGTAAGCTAAAAGTAATTTTAAAGTTTACAGTCTAGCTACTGGTGAATATATGTCTTCAATTATTTGATCTTGTTGATATCCACGTACCACAAGTCTCGCTTTTTTTCTACCATCAGATTTATTTGTGTAAACCCATCTTAAATCTAAAATTTTCTTATCTATTGGTTTGTCAACTTTTGTCCAAGTTTTATTTTTTTCTATACTTTGGATTTCTTTTGCCATAGCATCATTCCACAAAGCAGAATCATTACAATTTACTGCGTCATTATAAGTCTTAGGTGAATCAGCACTAACAGTGTTTACATAAATAAAACTTGTCACTGGTTGACCGTACCAATTAGGTTTTCTTTTCTCTCGCGTGGACTCTCTCTTTTCAAACTTTAAGTTTTCCTTTTCATTATCATTTCCACTCGAATTTGGGCTAGATTTTTTTCTTTTATTAAATTTGTTTTCTTTCTTAATTTTCTCATTATCATAAAATACTTCATCATCACTCATACTCTCATAACTCGTTTCAGATTCACTTTCACTCTCATTATCAGTATCTATTCCTATCCATTTCACATCATCTTCAACTACTTCTACGTGTCTAGCAATTATAATTCTACCATTCATTAAAACTCTATAACCTACGTTATCATAACCAACTAAAATTCCCATATCAGCTTTTCTGTCCCATTTTGAATGTCTTTTTTCTTCCGGAGTTTTTACAAAGATTTTACTACCAAAAATTCTTAAATACTTCATACTCGGTCTTTTTCCAAAAAATATCTCGTAAGGTGTCTTATTAAGAAGTGTATTCGCAATTGAACGATTTTTCAAATACGCTGCAGTTTTTACTGCTTCAGGCCAGTATCTAATATTTAATTTTGCTTCCGATAATAAACATCTAGCGGTATCCATGACCGTTCTATTGTATCTCTCCGCTGTTCCATTTAGTGGATGAACATACGGTGGACAAGGTTCAAGATATATACCTTTATCTCTGATTAAGATAAAAACATTGTTATTTATGTATTCTTTACCATTATCGCACCTCAATTTTTTAATCTTTTTACCTGTTAAATTTTCTACTAAATTTATGTATTCACGAAAACATTGATATACTTCAGTTTTATTTTGAATTGGAAAAATCAATGTACATTTGCTAAAGTCGTCAATAAATGTGAGAAAATATTTTGAACCTTCGTACCCGGTATTTCTGTGTGGGCCATTTAAGTCAGTATGAACTAATTGAAGGATTTCTGTTGCTTTTGTTCTATTGTTTTCAAAACGTAAATTATGCATTTTGTTTTTGATACAAATTCCACATTTCATATATTCTTTTTCTAAGTTTTTTGGAAGTCCTTCGATTAATTCATATTTGCAAAGTTTTTCTAAATAATTAAAATTTACATGGCCAAGAATCCTATGTAATTTTTCTTTTTGACTTATTATTCCAGAATTATTTACGCTAATATTTCTTTTATCAACATATGACGAAATTTTATATAGACCATTTTCGTTATACGCAGTACAAATTATATTATTGTTTCTATCGTAAATTTCAGATCGATTTCCTTGAGATAAGATTTTAAAATTTTTATTATTTGTAATTCTAGCTAGACTTATTAGATTTCTATCCAATTCTTTTACATAAAAAACATTTTTCATAATTATTTCTGTTTTAAAACTTTTTTGATAAAATGATGTTATAATATTTCCAACTTTTTCGCACTTTATTTTTCTACCATCTGCAATAGTTACATAAATTGGTTTTTCTAATCTTTTAAAATTTGAGAAATAAGAATCATCGTTTACTATATGGTCTGTACAACCACTATCTAAGATCCAATTTATTTGAGTACTTTGACTCTGATTTATGGAATTTACTCTACTATTAAAATTTTTAACATCAATATTTGCATGCAAATAAAACGTCTGTGGTGTATTATCGTAATACCTATTATTATAACTATAGCGTGCGTCGTGTTGACCTTCTTGTTGAAAACTTCGTTGATTGTTGAACTCTCGGTGACCTCCTCGTTGACCGTAACCTCGATTGTTGTTGTTATTATATCCTCTGTTATTGCTGTAGCCTCTGTAGTTGCCGTAGCCTCTATTGTTGTTATTAGTATAACCTCTGTAGTTGTTGTTTTGGTAATTTTCTTCTTGATTGTAGCTGCCCCTTTGACCGCTTCCACGAGAGTTGTTGCCTCGCCAGCTGCCTCGGGTTATAGCACCTCCTCGCCAACTTGCTCGGAAATTCGGAAAAGCATTAGTTTTACAATCCTTTTTTGTATGCCCTTTTTTATGGCAAATGAAGCATTCAATATCTTTCTTTTCGACTTTAAATAAATTTGACTTTTTATCATTATCTTGGCTATGTTGAATTTCATACATTTTAATTTTGTTTTTTATATAACTGCAATTTTTATCTTTATCTTGTAAAGTATCGACTAAGTCTCCAATGTATGCGAGTGAATCAGGTAGAGTTTTTAATATATAATCTAATTTTTCTTGTTCTTTTATATCTGCTCCAGCACTTTTCAATTCATTAATTAATTTCTCAAATTCACTAAAGAAACTATCGGCATTTTCAAAATCTTTCAGTTTTAATTTATCCAGTCTATTTCTTAAAACTATTTGTAAAGAAGTTGATTTTTTTAAGTAGATTTCATCAAACTTATTCAATATATCAATTGCTGCATTTTCATCACATACAAATTCTAATTGATCATTTGAAATACTTGAATATATTAAGTTCATAGCTTTACAATTCTGCTTTTCCCAATCAGTATCTTTCAATTGTTTTTCGTGTGTGACTACCTCATCACACGTTCTAAATTTCAGTAAAAGTAATAATCTTTTTTTCCAAAGGTGTAATCTTTGCCATCAAAGATAGGAATTTTCATATCCGTATCAGAAGCCATTCTATACTCTACAACTTTCAAACACAAGTTTTCACAACTTTACTCAACGTTCTCGTTCATGCACGTGTATCTATCTTTATATATCTTTATATATCTAATAAAATATTTATTACTTCTTGTTGATCTGTTTTTAAGTTTCAATGTTTCAATTTAATTTTTGTTTCTAATTGTTTATTATTGTTTCAAACGACTTCATTCTCCGATAAAAGGATTTATTACCTTGATATTTACAGTATACTTATCAATATCCTCGGTGTTTCATTACGTTGAGTACTATATTATCTTGTTTCTACTCATTTAGTCGTATATCCTCAAATTTCCATGTGTTCCTGCCAAGCACCGCATGACGGCAAAATTCACAATCGTATTCACTTGCATCTTCTTGATCATTCACTTATTTTTCAATTTTAATCGATCACACTATTAACCACGCTCTGCTACCATGTTAAAAATGACTGGGATAAGTTAAAACTATTGAGTTTGTTTTAAAATAAAATGTAATGTCATGCAATATGTACAAGGTTGGTCTCATAGTTAGAGACACGGTCTGCCTCAAGCAAACGCTCTCTTACGACTGTACTTATAGTTATGTACAGATACATCTCGCTGCGTACTTAAGCGCTTTTGCGCGTGCGCTACTACATACATCTTATACTCTTGAAATATTAATTCATATATTTTAACAGAAACAATAAATTGATCCAGGGTACCATACCTTATGTTTTTGGGTGTGCTGAATCTAAATCCGGGCTCAAAATCAAAAATTTTGCTTACATAATTAAATATGGCCGGTTTTTTATAAAAAAATAGGGAAATTTTGAAAAAAAAAATTTTTTGGAATTTTTTTTCTACCATAATACATGTCAATCTCGAAATATTTCTTCAACCATGAGTGCACAAAATTGTTGAACTTTAACAGAAAATTTTTATATTCAAAGTTTTTTTTCCAAAATGGCGGAAAAAATGCCAAAATCTGGAAAAAAAATACGTTTTAGGTTACTATTTTTTTTTTCTCAAAAACTATGAGGTTCGGGAAAAAACTTTATATTACAAAAATGACTTATAATTTGTCAAGAAAAACTGAAATTTTTTGAAATTTTTTGAAATTTTTTTTTAATTTTTCAAAAAATTACAGAATTGAAAGTTTCACAAAAATTTCGAAAAATTCTGTAAAAATTAAAGAGTATTCTTTGACTAATTCTAAGACATATTTGATCTTATAAATTTTGCCCGAAAGCCTATAGTTTTCGAGAAAAAAATTCTCAAACAATTGTGGAAATTCTATTCAACCGTTTCAACTTTTGGAATTTCATAAGATAAGTTGGGGTATAAACGTACCGAAGTTTAATTTATCAAGAGGTTCTAAATAAAGTATTGCGTAAGTACCTCTAAAGTGTGACTACTTTCAGTTTATATTTATATTTTACTCTTAGCGTAACCCAGAGACAACAGCGTGGACCTAGTAAAATCATGTCTCCTTCGAGGTGCTTGTTTATAGTGAGTCCCCTTGCCTCTTACTCTATGGGGTGTTTGTTTATAGTGAGTCCCCTTGCCTCTCACTCCTCGGGGTGCTTTTTTATAGTGAGTCCCCTCGCCTCTTACTCTACGAGGTGCTTTTTTATAGTGAGTTCCCTGGCCTCTCACTGTATTCAGACATACTTTGCTTTCATGCATGCACTGCAAAAAAACAAATTGCACTTCTCACAGTACACATATGTTCTTATTGGACAAATGGAACACTTGTTCTGTTTCTTTTTTCGAATTGTTGTATGCTTTTCCTTATTTTTTTTAGCATCATGAATGTAACTTTTCGCTATTGACACTGCAAATTCTTTAGTTCCAACTTTTTTTTTACTATCATCAGCAGCATTGAATATTACACCTGCATTTGTAATTGCTGCTTGGATAAGTCTAATGAAAACCACCCACGTCCACTTCTTTAAACGAACACTTGGCAACAAATTGTTACAGTGACCGTCGTGTACATCAACTCCACCCATGGACTAATTATAAAGGTGAAAAGCTTGCGGAACTGGTATATCGACTTTTTCTTTTTCGATCGAACTGTATCTCTTTGCTGATGATAATGGAGTGACCCCTGCAGTTGTAGATAGTATTAATACTGGCTTTGAATCCATAACCGTGATGTAATTTATTCCAGAGTTTTTTTCATGCTTTACTGCATATGTTCCACGTGGAGCCTTTTTATGAATGACATTTTTTACTGGGACACGATTGTCTCTAACAGTTCCAGGACATTTCAATTTTAATCGGTTTAAATGCACAACAAGATCTAAATTTGTAAAGAAATTGTCAAACTAAAGATGATAAAGAGGAATTTTTGCATCAGAAGTCAACTCAAAAAAATGCTTCAATAAATGTAAAACCACGCGAGATCCTAAAGCGCATTTAGATAACTTATCTCCTATTACAGAGTTCTTTCCACAGTATAAATCTATATTGAATAAGTATCCATTAGCAGCGCACAAACCCCAAAATTTAAGACCGAATCGTGTAGGTTTTCCTCGTATAAACTGTTTCAAACACGTTCTAGCATACGATTTAGCCATCATTTCATGCACTGATAAAGCTGATTTCCAAAAGCCAAACTTCAGAATATTCTTTTGAAACAGTTTCAACAAAGTACGAACTCGCCAAGCCTTATCTTGTGGATCCTTATCTTTGGTCTTTGAGTATTTCAATTTAGACTTTATTTTTTCAAAATGAGATCGTGATATTGCTGAAGAAATTTTTTCACAAGATAAAAAAGGCACGGTGGTCCTGAACCAACTTTAAATAGCATGGAAAAGCACCACGAAAAAAATCATGGGGTTCGATTCAGAAACTCAAAATGTAAGCTCATTTAAATTTTTACAGAATTTCTGAGGGCCGTTTTTGAAAAAACTCATTTTTGAAAAAAGAAATATAAAAAAGTGAAAAAAAATCACGTTTATGTCAATTTTTTTCACGAAAAAAATATTTGCAACGTCTAAATATATTTTTCGAAGCTTAAGTAAAAGTAGTTTTTCTAATTGGTATTCAAATAAAAAATTATTTTTACAAAAAATTCTCTATTAGCATAAATGATACGTTGGAAAATAGAAATAAAAATGACAATTGAGTTTTTGTAATAAATATATTCTTCATAAAACACATAATAAATAAAATAACTTCATATAGTAACGCATAACAATTATATAAGGCACATATATAACACAGTTTATAGTTTTCGAGAATAGATTTATAATTGATCGATCACTTATATGTGCCTCGAATTATATTCTTGAACGGCTCTTAACAATTTTTCGGCATAGTTTGGATGAGACTCATAAACTTTATATTTCGCCCAAATACTTTGAAAATCGGAATGCAATGACTCCAAAGCTTGTTCGCTGTAGAAACCAAGACCTCTTCCAACTTTGGCACAAAAATCAGGTACATGAAAAAAAACTGCATGAACTTTCGGCGTGATTGAAATATCCAAAGCAATATAACTACTTCTAAACTTAGCGATACAAGACCGAAAATCAGGTTTAAGCACAGAAGAAAAACAAGAGTCAACCACGATTCGGAAATTTTGTAAGCACTGAACGTATTTCAAGCAATTGATACAACATTTCGCTCGTAATAAATCAACACTATTCAAAAGTTTCTTACAAGAATTTCCGGCAAATGCTGGACTACCGTGCACGAATTCACGAGTTACATTACAATCGTGAGCCCACTGTAAGCTGTCTTTTTCGCAACAAGAGAGCATATCTTTATATACAGTATTTACAACGCCAATTAAAAGGTGTAATTCTGGTGGTGGTATTATATCAATGATTTTCTTATTGTTGTCTTGTGATGAAAACACTGGGTTATCTGTACTGATGCGCAGAAGGTGAAAGAAAAGGCGGGGTATTCTGATTCTATTTATTGCGCTTAACTGAAATCGTATTACACTCCGAACAAGCGTGACGCGTTCTGGGAGCACAGCTCGTCAGACAGACGAAAGCGAAAAGGACAAAAGAAAAGCTCGGGAAACAGGCTTCTGTCGGAAGAGGTCACCGTCGAGCGCTCCCTGTCGGCCTCTCTCTAAGGCGTCAGCGATCGGTCCTGTCGAACGTCGGTAGCAACAGGGCGCTGGATGCGCCCTTGTTCCAAACATCCCGCCCGCCTCGTTCCGGGAACGACTTCATTTGATGGGGCTGCTGCTGTCGACGAGCTGGAAGTGTCTTGGACAGGTAGCCGAGCGATCTTTACGATGGGTCGAGTATACTCGCCAGTGGCGGTTTTAACGGTGACCGCTCTTACGAGGCCGTCCGATCCAGGCATGGTGGCCGTCACGCGGCCAAGAGGCCATCGGCCGTCCGGTCGAAGCAGAGTGGGGTCAAGGAGGATGACAAAATCCCCGACTTCGAGGTTGGGCTGAGGAGATTTCCACTTTGACCTCTGGAGGAGTGTATTCAGGTACTCCCGACTCCAGCGGGTCCAGAAGTGGCTCCTCATGGCCTGGACGAGCTCCCAATGACTAGCTCTATCTAGGGGCTGGTTGGCACTGCTAGTCTGGGGATAAGAGGTGGCTGAAGTTCCGATGAGGAAGTGACTAGGAGTGAGGGCCTCGATGTCACCGAGGTCACCAGCAGGTGGAATGAGCGGGCGGCTGTTCAGAGTAGCTTCGATGGAAACTAGAAGAGTGGTGAGCTCCTCGTAAGTGAGGCGGCGAGGAGAGGCCACCCGCATCAAGTGTCTCTTCATTGACTTGACACCGGCCTCCCACAGCCCCCCGAAGTGCGGTGCCGAGGGCGGAATGAATTTCCACGAAGTTCCGTCCTTGGCGAGTTCGCCCTCGACGACGCCCCAGTCGATTTCGGCCTCTCGGAGCAGACGTCTCAGCTCCAATGCAGCTCCTCGAAAGTTGGTGCCATTGTCGCTCCAAACTTCAGCTGGTCTCCCACGCCTTCCGACAAACCGAGTGAAAGCTCCTAGAAAACTGGCTGTGGTGAGGTCGCTGACGAGCTCCAGGTGCACTGCCTTTGTGCAGAGGCACACAAATAGCGCAACGTAACCTTTCAACGTGGCAGCACCTCTCCCTTTGTTGCGGCACATGGAGAACGGCCCGGCGTAGTCAACCCCGCACTTGGAGAATGGTCGAGCGGGGGTGACTCTGGCCGGTGGTAGAGCGGCCATTTGTTGGGAGGCAGGGCGTGCAGTCAGTCGAGCACAGAGTGTGCAGTGGTGTATGAACTTCTTGATGCGGACCCGAGCTCCGGTGATCCAAGCTCGTTGGAGGGCGCGAGAGTAGGTCGCTCGGAAGCCCCCGTGGAGGCAGCGCTCGTGGGCCCAGCGGATAACGAGCTGAGCGAAGGCGGACTTCCCGTGGAGTAGTATTGGGTGTCTCTCGTCGAAAGGCAGAGGCGACCGAGCGAGCCGTCCCCCGACTCGAACTGCCCCGTCGACATCCATGAAAGGCTCCAGCGACTTGAGTTGGTGGCATCCTTGCAGAGAGCCGTCTTTACTGAGACGAGCTAACTCTTCGGCGAAATGTCTACGCTGCGAGATCTTGGCGCAGACGACAAAGGCATGCCGGAGCTCATTGGCGGCAACCGGTGCGAGAAGGTTTTCTTGGCATCTCAGGATGCGAATGGTCCGGGCCGTGCCTCTCAGGAGAGCGCCCAGCGACGAGAACCTCTCAATGTAGTCCGTTTCGGTAGTGATCTTCGTACAAGCTGCGATGAGGCATGGCGACGTGGTCGCGAGAGGGACTGTTTCCTCCTCCTTGGGCCACTCGCTCGTCGGACGAGGGAGCCAGGCGGGACCTTTCCACCAGAGAGGGTGGTGAGCCAACTGGGTGGCGTCTGTCCCGCGGGTGGCGACGTCAGCGGGATTGCAGTCGGTTGGCACGTGATGGAAGGCAATTCCTTCGGCGAGTTCCTGAATGTGTGCCACGTAGTTGTCGATGAGGTCATGACCGACTGGACTGTCCGAGCGAAGCCAGTGAAGAGTCACCTGGGAGTCGCTCCACAGATGGCAGCTCGTCAGTGGAACGGAGAGGGCAGCTGCGGCGTTTCTTAAGAGCTGCGCCGCGATGAGCGTGGCTCTTAGTTCCAGGCGTGGGATCGTCATTCTGGTGCGTCTTTCGGAAGCCGGCATAAGGCTCTTGATCGAAGCCAGCTTGGACTTGGCGCCGATGATGGTCGTGAATCCCCGCCCGCCGTCCTCAGCCGCTCGAGAGTAGACCACGGCGGCTAAAGCTCGGCGACTTGCATCTGAGAATGCATGGAGCTGGAGCTCCTGGTCGGGGAAATGGCTAATCCAGCGGCTGATGGCAAATCCCGTCGTTTCGTGGATGCTCGTTCGAAATGTGAGCCACTTGTTGGTCCAAACCTTGGGCAGATCCTCGTCCCAATCTAGCTTGGCTCGCCACATGTCCTGGATGAGGAGCTTGGCCACGAGAGTAAGTGGTGTGAGCCAGCCGACAGGGTCAAAGATCCCGGCAAGTTCTGCCAGAGCTGTCCTTTTGGTGAGCCGGGGAGATGTCTCGGGTCTACCGGGGCCAAATTTGAAATTGTCCTCCACCGGGTCCCAGGCTACGCCGAGCTCTCTGACCGGCCCCTCGGCAGACAGCTGTACCCAGCTGGGCCGGAGTCGATCGTCGGGGGGGATCTCCTCGAGGAGAGCAGGGTCGTTGGCTACCCATTTGCGCAGGTGGAACCCGCCCGCAGCGAGTAGGCCGATGAGTTGGTCTCTGATATTCCTGGTGGTGTCTAGATCATGGCCGCCGCTCAGGAAGTCGTCCATGTAAAGGTCTTGATTTAAAACCTCTCGTGCGAGCGGGAACTTTTCGCCCTCGTCGTCGCTTAGCTGTTTCATCGTGCGCAAGGCCAAGTATGGTGCGCAAGCGGTGCCGTAAGTGACCGTACGTAGGGCGTAGTGCTGCAGCGGCAGGCCGGCGGTGGGGCACCAGACGATGCGCTGAAGGTGGATGTCTTGGTCGTCTATGAGTACTTGACGAAACATCTTCTGCACGTCTGCGCAGAAGACGTATCGGTGCCTTCTCCAGCGGGTTAGTATGGTGGAGATATGCCCTTGTAGTTTTGGGCCGGCATGGAGGGTGTCGTTGAGGCTGATTCCGGAAGAGGTGGCTCAAGAGGCGTTGAAGACGACCCTGAGCTTAGGGCCGCTGTCGCTGCGCTGCCAGATGCCGTGGTGCGGCACGTAGTAGATGGTGCTTCTGTTCTCCTGAAGTTCCGACTCCGAGAGTAATCTCATGTGGTCCAGTCGAATGTACTCCTCCATGAACTCCTGATAACTCTCGCGCAGCGTTTGGTCGGCGAGCATTCGCCTCTGCATAGAGAAGAGGGTGGAGCGGGCGTGGAGTAGACTGTCACCGAGCGAGGCGGCGTATTCGGGCTTCAACGGCAGCCGAATGACATATCGTCCGCTTGTCTCGCGACGAACGCCTCGCGCGTAGATCGCTTCGCACTCTTGGTCAGCCTTGGAGATCCTCCTCGCGACCGGCACTTCCTCGAGAGCCCAGAAGCGCTGGACCAGTGCGAGCAGTTCTTCGTGACTCAGATCGCTTGTAGCGCGAGCGGAGACGGCGTGGGTCTGGATGCTTTGACGGACGTCGCTTGCCTGTTTGGAGTGAGCGGAGCCCATCACGGTCCAGCCGAACGACGTGTTCTGGGCGACAAGCTGTCCGAATCTCCTTGTGCCGGTTCTGATGATGCGGTGGTAGACGTCTGCTCCTATCACGACGTCGATTCGGCCTGGTCGGTGGAAGGTCGGGTCTGCGAGTAGGAGCTTACGCTTGAGCAGAGACAGTTTTGAGCCCGGCATTGCCGAAGGAGTAATGATGCCGAGCGAGCGCAGAACGAAGGCCCCCGTCTTGATCAGAGGGCCGCCGGAAGGCTCGACGATGTAGACAGTCGCCTGATGTCTGGCTGAGTCCATAGCTGGACCGGTAACCCCGGTAATACTGGTGTTCGTGCGGCGGAGTTGGCAGCCGAGTCTGCGGACGAGGTCGAGGCTTATAAGAGTGGCCTCTGAACATGGATCTAAGAGCGCTCGGGCAAGCTCTCCCTTTTCCCCGCCGCTGCTCATAAGGACGAGGGCGGTGGGGAGAACGGCTAGTCATGCGGAACCGTCGTCTCTTGGGGATGGTGCGCCGGTGGCAGCCGTCTGGAGCTGCGTAGTCGGTGTCTCCCCCGAGGTCGATGGGCGAGGCTCTTCTTCCCCTCGTCTGGATCTTCCAGCGCCCTCGTGGATGAGGGTATGATGCGCTCCGGAGCAGCTTCGGCAGGTGCCGCTGGAGGGGCAGTTTCTGGCGGTGTGGCTCCCGCTGAGGCAATTATAACAAAGACCTCGAGCGGCCACAAGTTTCCGTCGCTCCTCAGGGTCGAGGCCTCGGAAGGTGAAACAATGGCCGATGTAGTGGGCTTCCTTGCAGGCTGGGCATCCTCCCTTCACTCGAGACGCTCCAGTAGCGTGGGCGCGTATGGTCAGGGTGTCTGCGGGTCTCGAAAACTTCCGTTTCTCGGCCGGGGAGTGAGAGGAAGTGCTGAGGGTTTGACTCAGAGCTCTCAGTGTGCAGTAGCGCCGCTGAAGAAATTCGGCGAACTCTTCAAAGGTCGCTTCAACTTTCGATAGCTCTGCGTTATGTGCCTGCTGCTCTATGTGTTCGTCCCAGGCTCGCATGGTTACTGAGTCCAGGGCGCGGCACCCCATGTAGACGAACCAGTCACCCCAGGCTTCGACTGGCCGACCGAGCCGCTCGAGTTGCGTGCGGCGCTTGTTCAGCTCGTCCAGCAAAGTCTGAAGGCTCTCCGGCGATTCCTCGGCGATGGGTGTCAGCTTCACCAAGGCGGCGAGGTGGTCCTTCACCTGCAGGCGCGGCTGGTCATAGCGTCGACACAATGCCTTCCAGGCCTGCGCATAGTCGCCGTTGACCGAGCGGAAGGGCGCCAGTGCATCCTTGGCCACTCCTTCGACGTGCGTCTTGAGGTAGTTCATCTTCATGGCGATCCCAAGCGTACTGTTGTTGTGCACGAGGTCGAGGAACAGATCCCTGAACGACTCCCAGTCCTCAGGCTTTCCTGAGAAGGTGGGTATGGAGAGGCGCGGCAGCTTTACGGCCGGGACTGTCGGATCCGAGGCGGCCTCCGAGGAAGTAGCAGTCAACGTTGAGCGGTCTTCAGACGCGATGCAACGGACGTGGTGGTCCAGGAGAGTGCTCTTGCTTTCCATGAAAAGCTCCTCTGCGACCGCGTAGTCATTGCCTGCCAAGTATTCCAAGACGCCGGCCTCCGATGAGGTCAACAGTCGGCCATGATTGCCGTTCAGATTGTTCCAGTAGCCCTCGAGTAGATCTAATCGAGTCTCGATGGCGCCGAGAGTCCAAGAGGCTGTCGGCATGTCAGCCACCTTTTCGGCGATCCGACGGATGGCCTTTCCAAGCTCCCGCTGGACTGGGATGAGTTCCATCTGTGAGAGAGGGAGTCGTGTGAGAATCAGGATGAGTCGGGCGGGCTCGCACGGATGGCCAAACTGTCACCCGAGGCTGACCTTTCAGCACTCGGGGCCGCGCGCCGTACCGGCTCACCCGGCCCGCAGTTGGGTCCGCCAAGCGCAGTCGACACGATGCCTGGATCGGCCAGCCCGATGGCTCGTCGCGCGCTTGGCGGTCCGCCTGCCGTCGTGTGCTCGAGGGCCTGTAGTTTCGTCGGTTGCCGCGCCGCAACGCCTCGCCAATGCGTCGTTCTGAGCGTGAATATGTTAGGCTCTTCCCCGCGCCGCTGGGTCCGCCCAGGCGCGCTGTCGTCGAAAGAGAGAGAGAAAAAAAAAGGGGGGGGGGGGGGGAAATTCATCGGCTGCATCGGCAGGCGCGGCAAAGGTGTCGGCCGTTGCGTCGTCCTCGCATCCGATGGTCCACCCCCTAGTCGCCCCCTAGTGTGTGTGCGCGCCCAGGCAGGACCCGCGTGCGCGAAGACCTCGTGTGGGCGACCGCTCGCCAAGTGCCCGCCGTGCCGAGTTGATGCTATCGTCGTCGAACGTCGCCCGCTGCGACGCCCGCTCTGTATACCGACGGTTCCTCACGCGACTCAAGTGTTCACAGCCGTGGCGCTTGTTGTGCCGAGTCGGTGATCGTCGTCGCGCGCCACTCGCCCAGACGCCACATCTGTGAGTCGCTGGGCCCTCGCGCAACCCAGGAGCTCGTCGACGGCAGCCGCCCGCCGTGACGCCCGCATTCATCAACGAATGACCCGTGATCCGGTTCTCTGTTGAGCCCTGCGCAACGCTGCACAGATGGCTTCCTCTCGTGAATTTCCTCCCTTGGCTGGAATCCGGCTCGAAGGACCAATGATGCGCAGAAGGTGAAAGAAAAGGCGGGGTATTCTGATTCTATTTATTGCGCTTAACTGAAATCGTATTACACTCCGAACAAGCGTGACGCGTTCTGGGAGCACAGCTCATCAGACAGACGAAAGCGAAAAGGACAAAAGAAAAGCTCGGGAAACAGGCTCCTGTCGGAAGAGGTCACCGTCGAGCGCTCCCTGTCGGCCTCTCTCTAAGGCGTCAGCGATCGGTCCTGTCGAACGTCGGTAGCAACAGGGCGCTGGATGCGCCCTTGTTCCAAACATGTACAGTTATTATAATTTTTAGCATTTGTTTTAATACTTCCCTTTTTCTTCCAGGAACAGGCACTATTTTCACAATTTTGAATAGTTCTATAAACTCCACATTCATTGAGATTATTTTTCGATGCAGTGCACCACGTACAAGGATGCATGCTTGAGTGTGCCATTATACCTGTTAGAACATTTGCTAATTTCAAGTCCGACGCTATTGTACTTTCAATATTTTTAATCTTCAAAAGTTGCCATAACATCAAAGCATTTTCATAATTTTCTTGTGTGTGTGCGACCAAGCCAAGCAATAATATTTTTTTCACATCTGTATCTTTAAACTGCTTTGCAGCAATACCATCCCTATAACTTTGCCGTGTATTTTTTCTTGTTTCTATAATACTGTCATCGTCGTTTTGTATTGAAAGAGAGACTTTTAAGAAACCCCCACCTCCGTCTATTCCGAATTTCAAGTGTTTATTATTAATATTTCTTTTTTCTACAATTGTGCTTACTAATTTTTCAACATTGTTACAAAATACGAGGGTTTGGGAGGGAATAGTTCTTTTTCCATTCGCTATATCTGTTATATCACAGTTTTTGACTTCAAAAAAAGAATCGAGTGTGTGATTTAATAACTTCCACAACACACCTAACAATCGAGTGCGACGCTCTGTTTCAACATTTCGACGAAGACTGATATATTGATACGCACTATAATGAAAAGATGTACGTCATTTATGCTAATAGAGAATTTTTTGTAAAAATAATTTTTTATTTGAATACCAATTAGAAAAACTACTTTTACTTAAGCTTCGAAAAATATATTTAGACGTTGCAAATATTTTTTTCGTGAAAAAAATTGACATAAACGTGATTTTTTTTCACTTTTTTATATTTCTTTTTTCAAAAATGAGTTTTTTCAAAAACGGCCCTCAGAAATTCTGTAAAAATTTAAATGAGCTTACATTTTGTGTTTCTGAATCGAACCCCATGATTTTTTTCGTGGTGCTTTTCCATGCTATTTAAAGTTGGTTCAGGACCACCGTGAAGGGTCAGTTGACTAATAATCTCTTTGAGATTTTCGTTTATTGAATGAACTTGTTATAATGATTCCAATGAATGTATTTAGATCGACTAATGATAAGTCAAAATGATTTTCCTTACATGCATCGATAATATAAATTTTCATTTCAATAGAAAAAAAATGTTCAAACAGTTCTCTTGGATCACATTTTCTAATTTTTTCTTTTATAGATCTCGGAAATAATATTTTATCTTCAATTATATCAGAATATATCTTTTCACCATCTACCCAATCAAATTTATGATAGTTTTCAAGCTTAGCTTGATCAGCTTGATAACTTTTTGAAACTTTCTTGTAAGTAGCTTTCTGTATTTTTTCATCACGGTAATTATCTGAATAACTATCTGAATCATTTTCAGAATCTGACGAACCAGAATATTCTGCATTTGGTATCATGCAATTTTCATTACCGTCTGTGGTGCATGATTCAGATTCACTTCCAGATTCAGAAGAAACAGCACTTCTCGATCTTTTTCGAGGCATTGCTAGTATAAACACGAAAGTGTTAAGAAAATCTCCTAATTTCAAAGGATAAATTTGAATAACTTTTGAGTTGAAAAACTACGTTATGTTTATCGACTTCAATCGATCTGCCCAAATAGGTTTTGGTAAAACTTTTCTAAGAGAAGAGATATAGGCTACGCTGAGAGTAAAATCTAAATATAAATGTTATGAGCACTCAGGTAATACTCAGGTAATACGATTTTTTCCTCCAACCTAATGGAGAATGGAAATCCCGTACATTTGCACCCCAACTTATCTTATGAAATTCCAAAAGTTGAAACGGTTGAATAGAATTTCCACAATTGTTTGAGAATTTTTTTCTCGAAAACTATAGGCTTTCGGGCAAAATTTATAAGATCAAATATGTCTTAGAATTAGTCAAAGAATACTCCTTAATTTTTACAGACTTTTTCGAAATTTTTGTGAAACTTTCAATTCTGTAATTTTTTGAAAAATTCAAAAAAAAATTCAAAAAATTTCAAAAAATTTCAGTTTTTCTTGACAAATTATAAGTCATTTTTGTAATATAAAGTTTTTTTCCCGAACTTCATAGTTTTTGAGAAAAAAAAATAGTAACCTAAAACGTATTTTTTTTCCGCCATTTTGGAAAAAAATCTTTGAATATAAAAATTTTCTGTTAAAGTTCAACAATTTTGTGCACTCATGGTTGAGAAAAGATTTCGAGATTGACATGTGTTATGGTAGAAAAAAAATTCCAAAAAAATTTTTTTTTTCAAAATTTCCCTATTTTTTTTATAAAAACTCTGCCATATTTAATTCTGTAAGCAAAATTTTTGAATTTTGAGCCCGGATTTAGATTCAGCACAACCAAAAACATAAGGTATGGTACCCTGGATCAATTTATTGTTTCGTTTTATAAATGAATT